CCCTCAAGAGAGACTTTCATATCTATGTCGAGTCATCTATTATTGTGTTAATAGCTAATCATCTACAATCCCGCATTCTGTTATAGGAGATTTCAGGAGGGTGAAATCCAAACAATGAACACGGAAAAATAAAGACTACCTCACATATTTGTAACTTCTTCGGCTAATCATATATCAGCAATGCCAAGATTGAAAATTATCACAACTTTAAGTAATATCAAAATTTGAAATTGCAGAAAATATTTATATATAAAGAACTTCACATTAATTGGATTAATTAATGGAAAATTGGATGAAATGAGTTAATTTTCACATATAATATTGCGAATTCTTTTATCAAATATCTTCGTGAATATCAGATGTGCGACCAATGTCTTAAAACGTTACGATAATCTCGCTATAAGAATGGAGGATTAGAATGGAACCGAGAGACGGATTGTTATACCTAAACAAATTACGAGATTGTTTGCAGTGGCATCGTTTCACGCATGAACCCGTCGCTGAGGTCGTTCTTTATTCCTTTTTGAGAGTCGATGCCACTTGAGCGAGCTCGAGTATAGACAAATGCGAAGAGAGCTGCTCTCTCAGTCGGTCGTCGCGTTGTCGGCCACCCCCGCGGAGCGGACGGCTTTGATCTACTCTGGAACTAACCCCGCTGTTATTTTATCCACTTCGATGATGCTCTAGAGACTCCGGGATTCCGCTACGCGTCGTTCAGTCATCGCAGGCAAAGGAATGACGCCCGCGCAATTGTTTTTTGGTCTCCAGAGCCACTCGACAGAAAGGAATCGTGCTCTCTCTGAAGTCGCTCTCTTTGTTTCTTTTCCTAGTTTATAGTTATTAAAGTGTAGTCTCATTAGAGAACCTCCAGACCAATTCGCAAGTGCCAATACTTGAGTTTATCTATATGTATTTATGTTTATTCATGATATATTTATAGTATCAAATAATTCGAAAAGTCCAAATAGACTTGCTTGTTGTAACCCATGCCTATGAGAATAATTTTTACTTTGAAAGTTACACAAAACAGGGAATATATTTGGTTGATTAAAATTTTTTTTTCCTTCTGTATAAAAAGATTTAAATTTTTCCTTGATGTACATTTCTTTTTGTTCCATAATTATCATATGTAATTTTAAAGTATAATTATTGTACTTTAGAATATTAAATAATTAGCTGACTTGTACTTACTGTGATTCGGTCAGTTATAATTTTATGAATTTTAATAGCTTTATAAATTTTAACTAACAGTAGTTTAAATAGATGAATTTTTTACTGTAGCTGTTATTCGCATTACTTCCAGAATTTAATCTTCTGTTGTTCACAAATAATAAAATTTCACAAATAATAAAATTTTTCAAAATCCTTCCTCTTGCGTT